ATGTTTTTGAATATCGTCAAATTGTTTGTCATATCATGGATTGTTCAAGGTATGTATGTAATTTTTGTTAACGTTTTAATCTAGAAATAATAATTAGGGTATTTATTTAAAGTCACCTCAATGACTTCATTAAAAAAGTATCTGCCTCAGACTGTGCCAACAAACCTAAATGATAATGATTCCGGGAATTTAACTTAGGATCTGTTTATCCGCCGTATTTTAATGTTAATAAGTGTAGAAAATAATTAATAAAATCGCAATACGGCGAGGAAATGCTGCCAGCGTTAAAGGTACACTGCCACAGGGAACAACTTGTTTAAATTTGTTTTAATTTTTATTTCTTAACTGGAATTAAAATTTAAAAAATATATTTATTAGTTCCCACTGTTGGCGCAACAACCCTTTTTTAGGCCATGGACTCAGATTTCTGTATTTGTTTCGTGATCATTTATCAATCTAATAGGTAAGTAGGTGATCAGTCTTCTGTGACTGACACACGCCGTCGATTTTTTGGCTCTAATGCAAGCCGGTTACCTTACGATATTTTCCTTCACCGTTCGAGTGAATGTTAAATGCGCATAGACAAAGTCCATTGGTGCACAGTCGGGAATCGAACCTTGAGCTAAGAGATTTCAGTCGCCCGCTGCAGTCACTAAGCCAACACTGTTCTATAGAAGAAAACATAAAACATGAATATGTATGTACATATGATTATTTAATACTTCAAAATGAATTTCGAAATTTTTTAAAACCATTACCACAGGTGACGCGCAGGAATCGAGAATTGTAGGCGGTAAGGATGCTTCCGACTCGTTGGCTCCATACCAAGTGTCATTAAGAAGTACAGGCGGATCAAAATATCACTTCTGTGCGGGCTCTATTATAAGCGAAAATTTGATTCTCACCGCCGCACATTGTACCAATGGGTACGTAGGCATAGGACAAATATTCTTGCATGGGCACATGGACATAGCTATCTCCATTGAGAGATTATTATCTGTTTTATTACCAATTACTTATTACCTAATCTTGGTTATACGTTAAATAATGCCAAATAATTGAATTTTTAATCTAAGTTCCAACAAAGTCAAAATAATAATAATAATAAAGCCTTTAATCAGATAAAAAATAATTACATAATTTTTAACTTAAACTATTAACTCTAGTGAGTCGGTGACACCGACAACCCATCTGTTTGCCCAACTTTGGCAAAGGCCTCCTCCATTTCTCTCCACTCTGCTCTGTTCTGAGCTTTCCTGGTCCAAATTTTCCCAGTTACGGACCTTCGAAACTGTCTACCTCGTTTTCTTTTATTATTTCTTGGGTACCAATATATGATATTTTTCTTCCACTTTTCTATACCTCTTATTACGTGACCAGCCCATTTCCATTTTAATCTTCGTATCCTCGTTGTGACGTCTTCAATCTTCGTGTGGTTTCGTATGATTTTATTATTGATTCTATCGGACTTCCTGATATTTAGCATGCTTCTTTCCATCGCCGTCTGGCATGTCTTCAGTTGCCTGGTTTGCATTTTAGTGAGTGCCCAAGATTGGCAGCCGTATGTTAATACTAGAAGTATGCAAGTGTTATACAGCTTTGATTTGACATTTATTTTTAGTAACATTTCCATGCTTTCCCAATTCTTGTATCAATCTCCTTCGACATTATACCAGTGGTTGAGATCTGTTGGCCCAGGTATGTGTACTCTTTCACATAATCAATTGACTCTCCATTTACTATAATAATATCTTCTGATGCATTCGTCATGGCTTTAGTTTTTGAGGTGTTCATTGTTAGCCCTACCTTGCGGCTTTTCCTCTCCAGGTCTGTAATCATAATTCTTAGATGCTCTTTGTTTGTCATCGGCGAATCGTAGATGTGTTAGTTGTTCCCCGTTGATGTTTAGTCCGTACCCACCCCATTTTAATTCTCTGAAGATGTCTTCTAGTACAGCTGTGAATAATTTAGGTGATAGGGGGTCTTGTCTTGTCTTGTCTTGTCTTGAACAAAGTCATAAAACGCCTCTAATTATAAAAAATTAAAAGAGGACCCAGCGGGTTTTGTTTCCATTAACTTAAGTTAATTGCCTGTAATTTGCCGTTATATGAAACGAGAAGTTTTTTGACACCATAATATATAGCTGTATTTCTAATTAAGAAATGAAGTATTATTTTATTTTAAATTCCAGTGTTATTGAGATGCTTGTAAATTTACTCTTTCACCCAAATTAAACCAATTTTATATAATATACAAAGTTTTCTGGACATTGATAATATGCCTTTAATTTCTTTATAATTGTAGCCTAGAAGTAGACCAGATAGCCGCAGTGGTAGGAACAAACAAACTTTCATCTGGAGGAGATCATTATGAGATAAATAAAATAATAATTCACGAGAATTTTGTAGCTGAGCGTCTCCAGAATGACATATCACTTTGTCAAATAAAAGAAGAATTTAACTTCAATGATAAGGTTAAACCGATAAGGTTAGATTCGAGACCTAAAATTAGACCTGGATCTAGGTGTGTATTGACAGGGTGGGGATTCACAGATGTAAGTACATATAAATATATACAAAACAAATGTTTAAAAATATAAGAGTCTTTCCTCCAACTTCGATTTTGTTCCCTTTGGAGTAGAGACTGTTGGGCCGTGGGGTTCAAGTTAGTATATAGTACCGGTGACCCCAGAGGTGGCACTGCCCTGGCTCAACGAATAAGTATCGCAATACAGCGAGGGAATGCTGTCAGCGTTAAAGGTACACTGCCACAGGGACCAAACTTTTTAAATTTGTTGTATTTTCTTTTTATGTTTATTACTACTTTATAAATTCACATTAATTTCTGAAAAGATATTCAAGGAAATTATTATAGTTTTGTTTTTAATATTCTGAAACTAATTTTTAATTATCATGATTACTGATTAGATTAGAGAAGATTGTAAATGTTGAATTTTTTTGTGTGTTCTTAAAAGACTCTTAGTATTTTTTTGGAATTTGTCTTATATACTTAGCAAACTTAAGTTTCCAATTCTTAATTTTTTAATAAAAGGTGTACGATTGGTTGGATGAAAACATACACCGCGTTAGTGAGCAAACCGAGTCTTACAAAAAACGCAAAAAAGCATGAACCAAACGGTTTTATAGTGAATAACATATTTTTCAGAACCAAAGAACAGTACCGGACAATCTTCAAGTGTTAAATGTAACGGTATTGAGTAATAGGCGATGCTCAGAGAAACTGGCACAGACGAGAGATCTTACACCTATTGAAAAAACCCAAATGTGCACATTGAATAGAGAATCAGAAGGCGCATGTAACGTAAGTAGACTAGTATAATGCGGGCTACAGCCTATCTTTATTGAGACTGGCCACGCACTCACGAAGATGAAGTGTTTTTTTCGTTCTAGTGAGCAAATTAACACATGCTATGTAGGTAAATATTGTGTGTAAACCAGCATCTCTAACACCCAAGGTCACGTACCTTCTTGTTAAATAAAATTCATCGAAGAAACATACTGTATTATTACGTTTTAATAATGCTATAAGCGTAGTTATATATGGCATACTATTATTAAATCGTTAAGGTATTCGAATACTGTATTTAAAACATTTCAGGGTGACTCTGGCGGACCTCTAGTCAGGAATGGAAAACAAGTGGGCATAGTATCGTGGGGAATACCATGTGCTCGTGGCTTCCCAGATGTATTCGTATATGTACCAGCATATTACGACTGGATTAATGAGCATATACAATAAATTTAATCATATTTCCATACCAAAGTTTTCAGCATTATAGCATTTTCATAATTATTGAAGCGGGTGTTGTGCAGTTATATTCTTGCCACGGCTTTTGCGCTGTTTATTAATCGATTACTAAACATACATATACGAAAATGTAATTAAATAATATAAAACTATTAAACATTATAACATTAAAAGTTATTTTTATACAATTCCCAGTAAAAAGATAAGAATGCTTGGAAACATGCTGGTCCTGCTCCATAGGACAATCATAGAGCCTGGACAAAATCAAATTGGTTGCTGATTTTTTGCTTTAACATATTTTTGTTATTTCTTTTTTTTTAATTTATAATGCTACAAATGTAATTATTTTATTGTATCTCACACACTGTTTTGTTGTGTTTTTTAATATTTTTATTACTCTTTAATGTTAATATTCTACGGTTTCGATATTTGTAAATATGTGAGGAACATGTATACTAACTTTTTTAGTATAGTAGTTTATTCTAAGAGTACATTGTCTTCACATATAATTATTTAATAAATGTAACAAAATATTGTAAACCTATTTTAAAAAGAGTAAGTGTGGAGTTTCTTGCCCATTCTTCTCCACACGAAACTACCTCTTGGAAGGGGCAACTAGAATCTTCTTTGTATTTTTTTTGACGTTCAAAAGTGCCATTTTAGATGGTCTAATTGAAATAAATGATTTGACTTTTGACTTAAACCTTCTGCTATATATATTAATCTTCTCAAAATCCTATTTAAATCACAGTATTTTACTACCATAGGTACGCGAAAGGGTCGCTTTTTATCTAGGAGTCGAGAAAACTATTGAGCTGCGATATCAAGCAGGGAATGGGAGCTCGTCGACACTGGACTTGTCTCGAACGTACAATCTCATAGTCTCATTCAAGTTTCTCATTCACAAGAATTAAAAATCTTTGTCGAAGTTCACATTTACTACCGTCTAACCAATTGCAACAACTTATTTAGATTCTACCCTTATTTTGTTTAATAAACAATAAACATATTATAACCCGAATAAACATCTAGTGCTCATAGAATTATTTTATGTACGAGGTTAAACAAAATTAATAGTATAACTCAACTATATGAGTTGTATGTATGTTTATAACCTTTAGAATGTAAGTACAAAATATAATTGATTTTTAATTTATCAAATGAAAGTACACTTTCTTTTTTAACACACATTTCAAATACCAGCGTACATAGAATCGCAATCGAAAAAAACACAGAAGCGAGGTCGTTTTTTTATTATTTTAATTACTTTGGCTCTATTTTGCTATCAGCAAACATGCGACGAAATTATGTACAAAATTGATTTAGTATTCACTTAAATCCACAAGCAGGCTTAGCTTGCATCACATCCTTGAGGATGTAGGTTCGAACCCCGGTCTGCACCAATTGACTATTTCTGTACGCCGTAAAGAAATGGGAGTGCCTTTTACACAAAAAATCGTACTTTGATACAGAAATCGGAGGTTAAGCTCCTTTCTTTTGTTAATCCATGGTTACAGTGATTTGATTGTATGTTTATCTTCTAAAAATCACGTAGCCCCAATGAGGGCTAAAATAATGTGACCCCCCTTTCAGCAGCACCATATCGTTATCATTATATTCAAACTGATTCGATTATCAAAAATTTAAAATAAGAATGAAGAGGAAATAATGATATATTTATTTAATTATATAATGTTATCAAAATAATTTAGGTTTTAGCTTGTAATTAATATTGCTAATAAATTTCTTCGATAACTTTTTAATTATGTGTATTTCTTTGACTTTAAAAAGAATTTACAATTCAATTTATATTTAATTACTAATTAAATAATTTCAAACTTCGGAGGAAGTTGTTCCCTCAACCTAATGGGAACCTTCCTTCAATCAGGTCAACCACTGACTTGCCGGGTCAAAAGCCCTGGCTATAACTGATGTGTCACCAAACCGTTGAAAACAAGTTAAAGTAACAGATTGTATCAATACAAATATAAATGTATTTATTCTTATTTGTAATGCGTGATTTAAATTTACTTTAAAATTCTCAAATCAAGGTCGTAGAGAGGGCGAGAAGTGGCCAAGTGTTCGCCACTTACACTATACTTCGGCTTGTTCCTTGTGTTTAAAAACATATATCTATATTTTATTATGACGGCTCATTGGTCTAGTGGTTAGTACCCCTGACTGCGAATCCATGGGTCCCGGGTTCGATCCCCGGCTGAGACGAACATCGATGTGATGAGCATTTGGTGTTGTGCTTAGGTCTTGGGTGTTTAAATATGTATTTATATGTCTATCTATCTATAATATGTATGTATATCCGTTGCCTAGTACCCATAACACAAGCTTCACCAGCTTAGCATGGGACTAGGTCAATTGGTGTGAATTGTCTTGAAAAAAAAAATTATTATCTATTATTACCTAGTTATATAGTTCTTTATTGGGACGGGCCGTCAGCAGGTAATATTATGTTTACACGTTTGTATGTTTCTTTACAATTTTTATTCCACGACATTATCATACATATTGGGCTCTCCTAAGGGACGGATGTTCGAGCGAAAAAGATGATCAGCAACGACAACATTATGTCCTCATCCGATGTTGGGTGATTAAACCTAGATATTTCTAAATAGCACCGATAGTATCTCATAACCCAAAAGCACAATTATCGTTTTTGTCTTTGTGTACGATGAAATGTTTTCGTTGTTTTTCTATAAATCAAGTAGTTGTTTTATTTATCTAAAGTATAGGTATTTAAGAAAAGTTTATTTTTATTTTAAGATAAGTTATAAGACTTCTTTTAAATTATCAGCGACGTATTATGTGCTATCTGGCGGTGAGTTATGTTTCAGTAGAGGAGAGTTTGGAAAATTAAAAACTACGTAATGCTTTTAAACATTACTTAGCAGAGACGGCGACAAGCTTGCGAGGAGAGGCTCGGGAATGATGCCGTCTGGCCTGTATCCGCTCCTTCTCTGGCAAACCTGGATTCGCCAAAGATCTACAGAACTCCAACATCACCGATGGTCGCGAAACGCGGACCGCAGACAGTCCAAAATGGCTCTGGCTGCAGTTAATTAGCAGGCCCGTAATTGACAAAGCGACTTCTAAGCCTAGGGATGCCCGTAATTGTCCCTTATTATAGGGATAATAACGGGCCACTGTCTCCTTAATAAATAAAATAAATATTTTTGTACTCGGTGCTACAGACATGTGCAGAGGCTGTTTCAGCGCAGAGGAATCAGTCACCCACGTAGTCTTGGAATGCGTGGCTGTGACTAACCAACGTACAGAAATCTTCCTACGGAATCTGAGTCCACCAACCATTAACTATTACTTACCAGTTACCAGAGACTAGCAATTTGGATAGTTTTTTAGTACCGTCAGCAAAATTTACCTTTAGGTAGGTGCAAAAATATATTTATTAAATCCACAGCCGGTTAAAACTATTTTAACATTATCTAATACATAAAATTCTCGTGTCACAATGTTCGTTACCATACTCCTCCGAAACAGCTCGACCGATTCTTATGAAGTTTTTTATGCATATTCAGTAAGTCTGAGAATCGGAAAACATCAATTTTTCATCCCCCTAAATGTAAAGGGTGGTACAGCATACAATAATACATACAACCCTTAGTTATTGTCACTCCTCTACGATCTACCCGTATTTTTATTATAGTAGATAGTTATATTTTTTGAACTAAAAAAATGTTTCCTAGAAATAATATTCATTGCAAAACGACGTTTGCCGGGTCAGCTAGTTTCTATATGAAATCATTTTGCATTCTAGTCTCGTTAGAAATAATGGCTTTATGTGTCTGAGGAGGAACCTGCTGGTGTCACCCTCTCAGAAATCTATCGGATTTCAACGTGGACTTCCCAAACAAAATTCCAAGCTGACCTCAAAGGCTAATTGGTTTTGGTTTACAGAATATCTAAAACTCTATAGAATTTCTGCCACAAGGTCGTGGTCACTCTATCGTACAAATGTCCTAAGTGTTAGCGAGCCAGTTTATTAAATGTTGTTACAAACACTACGGCTAAATATCTTTCAGGCCGCTAGTTAAACGGCGCTGTTTAGGTAAAAGGCTAGGCTGTTAATTTAACGTCTTATTAAGCTAGTTGGCTGCGACACGTACATGTCGAAGCAATGGTGTAAGTGTCAGCTGCCATTGTTATTATTATATAATAACAATAAAGTAAAATTAGTGCAAAACCGTTAATACTAGTGGTTTATTGATTTGTCAATGTTTCTTGACCTAAAAATAACGTCTATTCAATAGTCGATAATAATAATGACTCCATAGTCATTGTTATTAATAAAAGTAGTTTAAAAATCATTTCATCCTCATCGACAAGTGACGCAAGTAAATGTGACGTTGCCGTTATGTTTTACGCTTTTGTTGGAAAAGTAACATCGCAATAGTAGGAATGCAAGTCGTGCACGATAAATCATAATTCCCACACATAAAATACAACACAAAGTAGATCGACTCATTTGTTATGATATATTATACCTTTATAACAGATTTTAGAACAATGTACAAAATTATTTTAAGTCAAACAGCTTTCAGCGCCGACGCTAATGGAACATTGTTAATGGCCTATCCGGTCGCCAAACTCCAAAAAAGTTTATTTCCATTTTTCGTCATCGTTTCTAGAAGTAGGGCGAATTGAAAAATATATATTGGAGTTGAGAAGTTTATGTATCCATTTTGAAAGATCGATACACGATTTAAAGAACTTCGCTCGATAGAAAAAAATCCAAACATAGCCAATTTTCGACACTTTGAATTCATTTTATGACGAAAATGTATATAGAACATGATTTTGAAATTTACACGATATATTTTATCGCAAGCCAAGTAATCCATTTCAGAAAAAATTAATGATAAAATAACATTAATTTAATGTTTTACATAACTAATAATTGTTATTACGGGCCGGCGCGCCTCAGTGCTCCAGCTCTGCACTGCGCACCGCAGTCCACC